AGAGTTAAGTTTGATCATGCGCAGACAAGCAGGCAAGGCCTATGGAAAATTCCACAGCGTGCCCAGCATGTGCCCCCTGGGTGACCTGTTGGCTTGTCAGTCAAGCGTGACCTACTTTTCCACCATGCGCATGCTCAGTCATATACAGAATCTAAACAGAGGCACGCTCGGTTTAGCTAAGAGCATGACTTCATAGAACTAGAAAATTCTTCAGAGCAAGCAACCTAATTGGCCACTTGGTTGCTATAAAGGGTTTGTGAACCCCCACCTTTGGGGTGCTGTCTGTCAGTGTGGTTCTCTCTGTCAGTGCGGTTCTCTCTGTCAGTGCGGTGGTGGTTGTGTGAGGGGAGACTGTGCTCGACCTGTAAGCAGAGGCTGCCTTGGCAGGGACTGTGAAACAGGGAGAGATCGATCCAGAGAGCAAAGACTGCAGAGACTGCTCTTCTGGAGGGCTTCAGGCCCACCAGTCTCCTCCTCATTGCGAATTGGCTGTTCGATTCCCCTTCGTTCTCGTATTGATTTTCTGGCTACCGGACTGATTTTGGCACTGATCCTGATCACGATTCTGATCAACCGGACTCACTTCGACTACGGCTTCATTTTACCATACTCGGCACTGACCTCAGCATCACTCTGCATCAACCTCAGCATCTTAACGATCATCCGTTTCGTCCACGTTGGACTGGCATCACACCGTTCTTCATGTTACAGTTCGTTGTTCGTCTCCCGATTAATGAGCTGTTGACCAGCCCTGGGACTATCGAGTTGGGCAGCCGCACCTAGCCTCCGGGCTAGAAAGCAAGGGCTCAGCTCGAGAACCCTGTGGGCCAACAGACCCCTTTGTCGTTCGTTATCTAACTGTAACCGGAGCAAGCTTCTCTGCCTACGCTCCAGTAGCATAAGTAAATAAAATACACGTTTTGAAACTGCACCGAGTCCCGTACATCTCAGACTCCTTGCCGCAAATCCCACCTATTAGTTTGTGCTCGGGCCACTGTGACACCAGGGCGCTGTTCCCCGACACATGGCATACATTTTATGGCCTGAACCCAAAATAGCCTGGTATGTGAGACATCCCTTGGCCTTCCAGAATGACTCAGAATTGCCACAAATGCCTTCCATTTTCAGTATCCTTTGAAATCCAAAGTGTAGCTTGCAAACTAAAACAAATTCATTCATTCCAGCAATAACCACCAAGATATAGGAAGGATGTTAGGCCATGCAGTGGAGAGCAGAGCAGGAAGTGGCCCTTCTTTGTCCTTTATGCTAGTATCAGCTGTCCTTGGCTCCCCTTAAGCAACCTAGGAGCTTGTTTTTGGGTCTCAGACTACCCCGTAAGAGAACATCTCAGAATTACTGTCCTATTGTCACCATCAGCCAGTGGCACAACTGGGAGGGTGTGCATTGCACTCTAAATCCCAAGGTCTCATGCTGATTAGAAGGCACAATATACTTGCTATTTAAAAAGACAGGATTAAACGAATTCTAATATTAAATTCCCCTAGTTTCAAGTGGCCAGGAGAAGGCAGTATCAAGAGATGACACTTCAATAAATGAGAAGTTATGTAGGAGTAAAGATTCAGAAAATATTTTGCTAAAGACATTGATAGCTCCTAAGAAATATGGTGATAACTTATCGCTGGAGATTAACATCTCTCTCTGAATTGTGTTCAAACAAACAAACACACACTTTAAAATGTGTCAGCTCTCCTGCTCATTGCAAGTGCTTCTCATTTTCAAATCAGGCAGCTGGGTCCTCAAATCTGCAAACATTTTAGTCTATGCAGACAAGGCAGAGGCCTAAACTGCCACTAAATTTCTTCCATGGTGTGGAAAGCAAGCAAACCTGACTACAGAAGAGTGAAATGGATCAAAAATCTAAATTAGGTAACAATACTACTGAATGTATGTCAGAATTTCTTTGCAAGACCAGTGCTGAGCAAACACATTAAAAAGTAAACATCAAAATTAATTTTTATAGCCTTGGATGTAGAGCAGGGGTGGGCAATTATTTTGGGCGGAGGGCTGCTTACTGAGTTTTGGCAAGCCATCGAGGGCTGCATGACAGGCAGCCAGGGGGCAGCTAAATATTAATTTTCTAAATTTTTAGGGGCCCCACGGGCCGGATAGAATGGCCTGGCGGGCCGCATCTGGCCCGTTGGCTGCATTTTGCCCACTCCTGCTGTAGAGTTACTTAAATAGCCTCAGTTCAGATATTTCAGAACTGCTGAGACAGACTGAACTTCAAGCAGATACAGAAAGCTAGATTATACTGTAAACTAGATTATGTAGTTTTAATATAGTAAAAATAAGAAAGCATTAAAATGCATCATACACTGAGCAACAGAAATGACAGTATTTAAAAATTTTCCAGTGAAACAAAGCTGATGCAAAATCAAAGGTCAGACTCATTTAAAAGGAACTGTGTCAACTGTACTCAAACTAAACTGCTTATTTATGCAAAAAGAAAAAGATTGTTTTATTTAATGTGCTAGGTTTAGGTTCAAGACACCAGATTATTTTACTTAACATATTAATCCAGTAGAGAAGCTCAAATCATTTTAATTTATAAGAAAAAAACTCTCGGGCCAAATATTTAGAAGTAGTACAATCAACATGAGATTTTTGGGAACAGCTCATACCTTTTTCTGTTACAGTGCCTGCAAGACCTTGTAGTATTTTTTTTTTATTATGGGATTTTTTTTTATTTATACATAAACACTCTCAACAGTGTGCACTAAGAAAAAAAGAAACACTGAGACATATGTACTGTTCCCTTAAAACTGTAGCAAAGACCCAGAAAGGAAAGAGCTGGGGAAAATTCAGGCTTTAAAGTACAATGCAGAAGAAAAAGGAGTAATAGTTTTCCTATAGGCCTGGGTCTTCACTTTCCAGAATTGCTCTGTAGGCCAAGGCCTTTTGGAAAAAAATAGAGCCCCTCAAAACTAAGTGTTTTTGTTATTCCTTCCCCTTAAATGTCAATTTGTTGCTCTTACTCTGTCCTTCTCTGTGGTTGAGATTCATCTTCCAAACTGCCTGGATATTCGTCTTTAATAATGATACTACTCCTCACCTCAGATTTGTCTTTACTTCCTGACACATTGCATGAATTTTTGAAGGTCTGAAAGAAGAAAAAAAAAAGAGATAATTGGAGAATAGCTGGCTGCTTCTAGCTAAGAATTTTCTATGCATTACACTGCAAATCTCCATGGGATGATCAATACTCCACTGAACATAAAAACAATCCTGCCACAAGACCTGCTGCTATTTTTCTCAAAATCAGCTTGGATGCTAAACAAAGAAGTTCTTCCATTTTAGGCTTGAACTGTTAAGGGTGGGGGAGGGGGTGGTGTTGGCATTTGCCAATCCAGCAATTAATATGCTTCAGGTTGTATTCCCACAACCTCAAAATGCTAAGAAAGAGTAAATAAGACACTGTGAATAGAATAACTTTTTCTATTCCCAGGACCAAGATATCTAACGAACTGTGTATACCTCTTTGTTCAAATTTTTTTTGTAAGTATCCAAAATACAAATACTTTACAAGGGCTTGGGAGTGCTACAACAGAGGTAGCACACTGGGTGTGACTACAAATACAAGAATGAGTAGAGGAACTGTGCACTCTACAGCATAACAGGGCTATGAACTCAACTGAAGCCTCTAGCATCTGCTGCAGCACAAATAATTAGAGAGGCAAAAGTGACATTACTCTGCACAAGTTTCTAATTGTTTTCATGGGGGACCTTAAGTCGATCAGGGTTAAAATGTGACAATTGTTTTGTTGGTTTAGGTACAAGGAGGCCAAAAACTGCACACAATACACATATGGCAGCCATAAAGTCACTTGTGAAATTAAGCAGAAAAAAAGATATTCCCTCTTTACTCTATGAATTTATTTATGAAAACAGATGTTGATAGATACCAGGCAGAAGGCAAGGCAGAGATGCACCTTACAGACTAACTGAACCAGAGATGTCTAAGCTTTCATGAGCAAGAGCTCACTTCATTAAATCAATTAATCTAAGGAGTATCTGCCCGATTTCAGACTAACATGTCTGACTTCTGTTTTTTTGAATGGGTACCAGCATTTGCCACAAACTCTACACTGATGGTCTGTGTGGACTGTGGCAGGGTACCTTCAAGAGACCTCCTGCACTTCCTTGTCCCCAGTGTAAACCCCACTTTCTCTGCAGCACCAAGCTAACTCCTTTACTATATCTTTTGATTAGCTCCCCACTCCCTTTATCCAATAAATCATACATTCTAGACACATCATCTGCAGTTGAAGCTAGGACGTGTATTTGTTTTCAGTGCAACTAAGCAAAAGAGGGTTACTACTATGGCAATAGTAACATAGAGATGAATCACAATTCAAATGATTCACCCCCACCCACATCATACTGCTTTCATTTCTGTAACTCCTTTCACTTCTAGCTTGTAGACTACACTGCACACATTCAGTTCCTAATCTCCAACTCCAACTAAATGAGTATTTTACAAACAAGTTACTTAAAAAATTTAAAATAGCATATGCATCAGCAGCATACTAACTAACTGAATGTCAGAATTAAAGTTTTGAATTTGAGTGTGATGGTAAGGAAATCCATGATTGTTGGTGGGAATACTTATATGCAGAATATTAAGACTTTGTATTTATTTCAAGCTAAATTATTTTGGAAATTTTCACCAAAAAAGTTTCAGCTATTTCAGAGGATTAAGCATGGTTCTGAGAATTTGCCCATGTTAAAAAAATGGCAACTCTGTGTTGTTTTTAAATGGAAAGCTCAACTCTTTCTATGCTGTAGAGGAACTTTATTTGGCTTAAGATACTTTTTGTATCGGGGATGAGTCATCTGCCATGAAGCAAGTCTACCTGTGTTTAGCGCCCCGTTCCAGTGATGCTGACACTGAGGCAAGTGGCTGGAAGTCCAGGGGCCAAGAGTTTGGGGCCACAGCAGAAGTGCTCCCGGTGTGGCCATGTCAGATGCCAGCGAATCTGTGAATTCTGCTAAATATCTTGTCACAAGGACACGAGAAAGGAATGTGTATTTGGCAAGCTATAAGCCTTTGGAAAAAAATTACTGTTTGCACATGCCAAGTATACTTGTTAGAGGTCCAGAGCTCTAGCCTGCTTTCCTGTGCCACCTAGTGGCAAGGCACTGTAATCATGCCTACTACCCTTGAACAGCTGTACATCTCTCAATTCCTGATCCCAGCATAATTTACATTTGTATGGAAACCCAGCATAAATTACACTGAAGTATGTGAAGGCACATGAATTGAGCTTGGTCTGGATGGCAGTATGGCTTGACTCAGAAAATTTCCCAAGACTAGTGAAAGGAAACATTCTTTGTACCTTAAACCTAAAAAGTAACACAAACCTTTTATGTACAAATAAACTGATAAGAATACAACTGTAAAAGACAAGAAAGGCCTTCAGACACTAATCTTGCCACTTAAGGAACAGGAATCTCTCTTTTCAGATTGAAGCAGGGGGGGATAGAAGGAGAAAGAGTTAATGGAAAAAGAGTGAAGAACAAAAAAACCTATCTCACTTACAAAATCTGTAAGAGCTGGAAAAAGAAAATGATTTTTTTTAGTTGTGCACCGATAAAGATGTTATTAACCAACCATATTGGCCAATGTCAACCCGATAACTGATATTTTAGTAATAATGCAGTGCATTTTAGACTACTGACATAAACCATTTTTTTGGTGCACTCCAGCAGCCTCTTGCGCCTTGCGTCCCTATGCTTAAAAATGGCAGTGGGGGCGTTTGTACTAAAGCTCATTGAACAAGTTTTGTGTCCCTGCTGACATTTTTAAGCATGGGGACACTGAAACGAGATGCTGTGGCACTTTAATTAGAGCAGCTGTTGGAACCGCTCTAATTAAAGCGCTACCCCCCACACCTCTGGAGCATGTGTAAAAGTGTCTGTGCCAGTTGCAGCAGGCAGGACTGGTCCTTCAGCCCCTGCTTTTCCACATGATACCCTTGAACCATAGCCCAGGAGCACCTGACTAAGCCTGCCCATCAGGGCTGAGGGGGAAGGCGTGACAGGGTGAGACCACAGGACTGCGATTTGGGTAGGTGAGGGTGGAGGGTGGATGTGGAGGGGTGTAGGGGACTGGGTTGTAACAGGAAACGCAGATTTCTTAATGCGGTTTTAAGATGCGTGCTGGAAAGCTTATGATAGAGGATGTGTGTGTGTGTGTGTATACACACACACACACACACGCGC